TAACTGCACTGCTCTGTTACGTTCATCATTGGTTAGCCGAGGCATCTTGTTTGTGCAACAAAAATATTAATCAACAGTGGATAATTCTTACCAAATACCTGAAAGATAACAAACAGGTCTGATACTCACGAAGTGCTGCCACGTGTACGCGTGCACGTGCAAATCGGGGTAAATGGTCGTGTGACCGAGTTCAGTCAACCGTGAATCGATAGGAAATGTGTGTGGTATCATTTTAGTCAAAAAGGCTAGCAACAGTTTATTCATATCTTTAAAATGTTGACATTTCATATAGGTTGCGTTTCTTTTGCGTGTCAGTATATTATTACGAGTCCATCTGTTTACAAACTTGTCCAACTATTATCTGTGAATAACGTTAAAGAGTTGTCAAATTTAGGAAAAAATTTATATCTAGCCACTAAGAGGCGTAATTGATTAGTTAGTTATTTATAATTTTGTGTATTCGTAATGTGTTCAGCGTTTATAGTTTGCACTCGTATGCTTTAGACACTCTCCTATAACATATGTACCTGTATATGAATAGCTTGTACCTTTTAGTCGTAAGACTTTTGGTGAAAATAAAGAACTTGTTGGCGACACTCTTGCCTTGCTGCTTTGGCGACCTGGGTTCGATACCCCTTGATGAAGTGAAAAAATCTGGGATCATCTCCTCGACTACGTAGGTTCTCCACGGTACACCGGTCTCCTCGGATTGTAAGACTTCATTCGGGTCAACAGTAAATTGACAGCTTTATCGCAATTACTGTAAATATAAAAATTCTAGAAAGCTGTCAGTCTTTACTATAATACTGTAGCTGACTTACCACAATCACTTTTCTATATGTGAATGTTTTAACATATATATTTCAAATATATTTGTTTCCTTCTCTATTTTTTGTCCACCATTTCTTAACAGTAACTACCTTTTCTGTGTTGATTGGCCATTACGAATTCAGTCTTGATCGTTCGTCACGGTCCAACGTGTTCAACAACAAACCAAAATCGAATAAATGATTATTATTTTTCATTCTGACGAGACTTAACAAAACATTCAAATTATGCTTTAAATAACATACTCGGGTCTGTTATGTGTTTTGCACGACATAATTTAAAATGAAATAGCAGGACTGGGTACTAGTATTAAACATGTTCCAAGGGACATAACTCGTTCTTTTTTTGTCTTAATTTTTTAATCCAACGAGAGAATGGTTATTGACGTAGATAAAGTAAATCGAGTACTCATGCTACCCCGATATTATCAATCAACTATATAATTATAACAATCCTCTGGCTACGTCATCAAGTCGTTTAATCCAGGTGCTGAATATTGAAAAGTTGGAATATTAATCCAACAAGCTGTGTGATGTAAATGACATATTCCAGCCCAGTGAAATATAACCCCTCTTAATGAATGTTATGAATGTTATTGTAATGGCATTGCACACTTCATGTACAATAATAAATCGAATCAAATTAAAGAAATAAATCAAATACAGATAGCACCTGCAAAATTAATATGTTGGCCACCAGAGAATAAAACAAACACAAAAAAAAATTTAAAAAAAATTACAAAACTTTCACATAGAACGCTTATAACAATCGGTTAATCAATGAGAAATCAATGGCGGACGACAAAATCAGCACAGATATATTTCCGTTTGGAATTTCACGCCATGTATTTTTTATTGATTTACAAAATTCATTTGAAATTAAAATCCGAAGATTGCTTCTATGATTTATCAGGTCAATAAGTGCATTCCGACGGCACTCATTTGTAATGTCGTATCCTTCCACAGAGTTTCTTACTCTCCACCTTACACTTGTTTCTCAAGTAGAGGACATGAAAGAAGTGACTAGCGTCAAGATTAATTAATCCTTCTTCCCTGTATCCAAGCTTTATATCTGTGAGGATATTGAAAAGTACAACAGGGTTTTAACGAAGTATTGCGTAGACTTATTGTGTCCTGGTTACGGAATCACAAGATTATCACTATAACTGGAGTCAAAGACAGTGTATCAGATCAAAGTGCTGGGGTCTGTTTTCTTGTTGGGTTCATTACCTCCTTAACAACCAGAGTCATTTTGACGTTCTGCTTTCAGTAGCTGGTGGCTACATCACTGAACAATATACGAGAGGCCCGCCGCATGCCATCCAAAGGAATTAGGTAAAGCTTCTTGTCTAAGGACACAACAACTTCAGCACTGACTGGTCTGTTTCTTATCTCCCATAGAAATACAATTCGCCACGGCTAGAGAGCGTCAAACATAGCACCACGAATCTATAAATATGTTAAATGGCTAGTCATATGAATCTCTTGTTACGCTAGTTTTGGTGGATTATATACAAGACTTTAAAAGTGATAATGCTCCAAGAACATTCAGTGTGTGACGCATAAAAAGGACTTCATACTTTGCATACTCGGATTTATCCTACAGGTAAAAATCGCTTTCATCCTAAATCCGTCTCAAATTTTCTTAATTACAGGTATGAAAAGTCGTGGCGTCAATGAATAATTTTTATTTTAATCATGTAACAAGGTTGTATCTCACAAATGACCCTGATTGACAGGTTTCCAATCATGACGGTCATTTCTATTTTAATCGCGACATGGCACTTAGGTCTGTCCGAAATAATTAAAGATAATTGGTAATCTGAAAGTTTAGTGATTACTAGATATAAATCAACTTCCAATTGCTATTCTCTCAAAACTATAATAATAAATCGAGATACCACCGTGTTGCTCTAATAGGATGATATTGGAAACGTCACCGCACTCAGACCTCTGGCCGTTCTTCTTTCTATTGAAAACATTGCCTAGTATTGGATCCTCATTCTACATTGTAACAATTTGTTCCAGAGTGAACTCCCCTTGACTACGAACATTACATCCCAGTTACTTTTGATGGCCTGGCAACCACTATCTTCCCAGAAAGCTGTCGAAAAAATGTTTGACGTTGGCTTGTTTAAAAAATGCTTAAGTTAATTTCCATGAGAGTTCTGGAGCTACTTCGAGGGCTCGCTGAACAAAAGAAAACTCGATGCGGAAAAGTAGGATTGATAGGGGAAAAGGGGACGGTTGGGAAACCGCAGACATAATTTGTGAAAATGAGTTATTTCCAGCTATGATTAGTGTGTTCAGATGCCAGTATCGGCGACATATTGTTATTTTTTATTTAACTTACATTTTAAAATATACCATTTAAAAAATCATTAAACACGAACAAAAGTTTCATACAGCATTTTTTCATAGCAGTATATCCTTAAAGGAAAAGGATTATTACTAAAGTGAATTTGACATAATCTACTAACTTGGTCCACATTTTCTACCATGAAAACGCATGCTGATAGATCATTTTTGGGTCTATCAATACTACAAACTTAATCCGTTTTCTAAGTATTCATACCGCAGTATTATTCTAGGAATATATAAGAAGATTTATATGTTGTGGATTTTGTGTGGAAGAGGTTCAAATAAAAAAATAAAGCACGTCACTACAACATCATTATAATTATCCGCCATTAAACCCGGATGGCGTTTACCTACTGCCGACATCGTAACGATAACTGTGTGTGGTTTTGATATGCATATAGCTAGAAATGTTTATGGTAATCTCAAAGTTAAGTCATTGACAAGTATTCAGAATAAAATAACGTAAATTGCCATTGCTTTGACAGATACTGATAGATTTACACAATAATAATAATAATATACATGGCATACATTTGCAAGAGGTCTATGTAAAATAACTGTAATATTTTTAATATTTCAATATTTTGTATAATGTCTATGTAAAATAACAGTAATACTTTTAATATTTCAGTATGTTGTAGAATGTTTTTAGTCTGGTATAGAGGACTTGCATATAAGTCCTAAACTTATCTTAAATGATACAAAACAAATAGCACATATTGAGTACAAATTTCCATGTTATACCGCCTATATTGACGTTTTTAAAGGGTGCATTAGACACTATTGTCAATTAATAATGTAACCCTGGTAAAATACTAGCCGCAATATACCACTCGGCTAGAGAGAACTTCTCTTTAGCTCGATTTGTTGAGCGTCAGACTAGTAAGCCATGGGTCTATATGCAAACGACTTGCATGACATTTAAACTGTGCGATTTGACTGTTTATCTATCTTAATTTGTCTACCTGTGATTCGTGAGCTCATTGTCATATTTTGTTGTGTTTTATCTACCTGCACTAAATGAGAGCTACTCTTTCATTTCGGAAAACGATTTGTCTACTACCTTTTTCGACTGCGAACGAGACAACACGCGAGGTGTTCGGAATGTGGTAATACCCATGATCCCTTGCTTTACCGCGAAAGTTTCATAACACTGACATGTGGACCGAGATGTAAACATCGAAACCACGGGTAAAACAATACGATGTAAGTATACACGGTGTGTACCTGTACACACTTCCATTGTAAAAATGTAAGATAGGATAAATCTATCAACTATGTGAAGTCGGCTGGTTCAGAGTTAAACCACAGACACCTGTATCAGGAACGTAAACAACACGGTTAAAACCCAGCCCACTTTTCATCTGTATACTAAAACATCGGTATGATCCACAGTCAACTAGATTTTCCTTGTGTTGTATACGTTCCAGATACAGGTGCCTGAGATTTTACTCAATCAGTCTCATTTGTCAATGTCTCATTCTAATACACCCTTTTCAGACGTTGAACTGGCCGCCATGTATATATATCTATACTCGCATATACATTAGGCCTATATAGTAATTATGCCTATATTACTCGATTTTTTTAACGTTTCCAAATTGATACTTTCTTGAAACAATCTCGTCGTTGTGGGTATTGTAGCCAATTTTTCTCGAGTAAGCCCCCTCTCTTGAGAATTTTATCTGCCTTCTTGCATTTAACTGTTGAACTGAATAATTTACTGATGTACAGAGCATTACAAGTATTTGACACCTGATGGATGGTTGTTTACATAGTGACTTTGTCTTTTCCTCCAGCACAAGAATAGACATGGCTTCCAAAAGGAGACTCAGATCTCAGAAGGAAAAGATTGCCGATGGAAACCAAAACATATGTCAGCCAGAAACATACGTCCGACGGCTCTCAAAACGAATGAAAAAATCACAAACTGAAAGTGACCCAGAAAAGAATATCCTAACAGAAACTGGTCTTGACCAGATGGAAAACACACTTTCAAGTTCAGATAAGAATATTGATGATGAGGATACATGCACATTAAAGAGACAGTTAAATGAAAAAGGGAAACATCCATGGTTTGATTTCAAACCTAGACAACATCCTCTGCAGATTCCAGTGTTTACACCAGTCGCAAGCAGGAGCCAGAACATTGTCCATTGTCTTCAACAATACACCTGGGGAAATAGGTGCAACTCAGCATTGGCTCATGTGTGTATCTTCATGCTGTTACCCATGTGTATATATGTCTTTGTCACAAATGAAGTTTTAGGCAATATATTGTTGACCTTAACATGACATTTCAAATAAAAACTGTTTCTATACACATAGATATAGATGGCACGTACAAATTGGTCTTGATTCATACGTCGTGAGAATGAATACAAAATATAGCTAGAATTGTATAACTGTAGCAGATAGTAGTTATATACACTCATCTTCATCAAGATTAATCTATACTTCATCTCTCCAAATGGATTAATTTAGGTCCTGTGTTGTACTAGTCATATGATTATCATGGCTGAACACGATTACATTCAATGTGTAATGTTTCAGTTTTGTACTTTGCAATCATATACATCTTTTAAAGTGTTTATATTTTGTTTTTACAGAGCTTATCAAGGCCAGTGGTTAGTCAAATTTCGGACATGCAGCTGTGTCGGACAGCCAGCCCTTTTGACAGACGTGTAACTGCCATAGATTGGCACCCTAGTAAACCACATGTTGCAGCCGTGGGATCGAAAGGGGGAGACATAATGCTTTGGGACACTCAACAAATAAATAATGAGAAATTTGTTCAAGGGGTAAAAATTCATACATCTATTGCTCTTTGCCTCAAGTTTTACATTCAGTAAAATTCAATTTATCATTGACAGAAACAGAATCTTATATTTTCATAATACAAATCTCATTCTGTGTACTTGAACACCGGTAGCGTATTTTCCTTTTAATATTTTGTTAACTTTGACAATTTGCTGTGATATTTAAGTAGGTTTTTGAGAATATGAAGAAGTTTTCATTTGATATATTTTTATGGTTTCAATTGCAACAAAACTTGAGTAGAAATCAAGATAAATGTAATGTGTCGATCTATATATGTATTAGACTAATATTTATACTGTTTATCTAGTGGGTCTGCTCTATGCAGTATAGTGTAGTATGTTTGGAACACCCTTATGTTGTTGCCAATTTTGACTTTGATTACATAACATTATCAATACCATTGAGTTTTTGATTCCTATGAATTCGTTTTGACAATTTGATTTCAAGGTAGTTGTCTCATTCACATGTGTTTTGACCCTTCAAACTTATGATTTGACTTTCAAAATTGTCGAATGTCAATTAGGCAACTGAATGCTGGGGTTGTCTGAAATAACATTTCAGGAAGCAGATTTTATTTTGTTGACTAAATATTAATTGTATCTTAGTTTGATCCAAGCTTTTTAGATTAGCTGTGATGGAAAAGTATTACAATTTGTGATGAAAGTTTACAAATGTCAATTTATTAAAGATTGGACCAGGAGGAATAATCAACGCATTAAAATTCTGGCCTTATGACTATGATAAAGTGGTAACAGCTGCTGTAGATGGGCGTGTCACGGTGCATGACTTTGAAGGTCGCCAGTCAAAGGTGATAGCAGATACTTTGGATGCTCATAGGTAAGTAGCAATACATCAGAAAAAATGTCAGTGTTTTAGAACTCGTCATTTGAAGACAGACATTCAGGGTCAGACCAGAAGACAAAATCATTGTCTGTATTGCTCTAAATGGGAGGAAATTTGTTGATAAAACCCTTTGTATTACAACTTTCATACTTCAAAAAATCAGTTTTATATGGATAATGAGACATGCTGAATTTTCTGTGTTACAGTAACTGGTACTGCAGTGTTGACATCCATAGAGAGAGGAAGTTAGTTGTAGCAGGCGACAATTTGGGCAAGGTTCAAATGTTGTCTAACGAAGGACAAAAGGTGAGTCATATCAGTGTATAAAATGTGATGATTGTTAATCCATCCCTACATCTAAAATGTGTATGATTTCCCCCATTAAATGCTGTTGATATTTCACTCAAAGGGTACCAACACTTGTGAAGAAAATACTGTTACTTTGCCATTTATTTGTAATCCTAATAATGTTATTCAACAGAAGGCCATTAAATAGTTGCATGGTAAAGACTACCTTGTAAAATGGAAACTTCAGTTCTGTATTTATCAAACAGTAAGCCCAGGTAGAAGACTTAATACAGTACAATGGATGGGTTTAGTGATACAGCTGTTGGCAGATACATGTATACTTGTACACACTCTACAGCGGAAATGAATATTATATGTATCAAATCTTGACAGGTGTTTGAATTCAGACTTCACAAAAGTAAGGTGACCAATATAGAAATATCACCAAGGGAGGAATGGCTCTTATGTACTGCCTCTACTGACCAAACAGTCATGTTCTGGGATATTCGTATGATGGCCAACAGGAAAAGTGTTCTGCACATGCTCAAGCATGATCGACCTGTTAACTCTGGTTTGTATATTCCGTAACCATAGTAACATGCTTAAAACAGAGTTTAAAGTTGACAGAGTGAATCATTCTTGGTCTTTTTTTTTACTATTTTAGTCCAAAAACTTATTAATATTTAATTGGTTTTAGATGAGAGGTGAATTTATGTAAATTTGTCCTTACTCTGTTTATGTTGAACTGTTGTAAATTAGTTGTTTAGCATTCATTAGCAATCTTGCCTTTGTTAAATGCACCGTACATCTTCTTACAGCCCATTTCAGTAGGACAGATGGCTGCAGACTATTGACCACAGACCAACACAACCAAGTACGAGTGTACCGTGCTCCAGCCTGGATACTGGAGAGAACTATCCTTCACCCACACCGATTCTTCCAACATATCACCCCAATTAAGGTATATTGCCTGTAGTTTACTCAGTACTTTTAGATTTTTTGTGACTGTTTTTAGGTAGTAATTGTGACATATTGTTATGGGTATTTCATAAAACATAAGATATAACTTCTGGGTTCTCTTCAATTTGTTTAAAAAGCTCTAAATTAATACAAGATTTCTATACCAAAAGTGTAAGCTTGAGAACGAAATAATGAAACATCTTTTCCATTTGTAATTGAGTGTTTTGAAGATTTTCACTTTATCTTTTATTTGGAAAGACATGAAAGGATAGAAACTTATTACAGTTTGAATGATGCAAGTCTTATTTTAAGTATCTCCTACAATACTACATTGCCTGCAATGTCTACAGTGCCCATCCCTCTCGCCATAACTTATTTCAGTTTACTAAAGTAGATCTACCTTGCTGGTATTACTAAGAGAGACCATGGCCACCATATTACTGTTTAATCTGTACTAGAAGATAAGGTTTTTCTACCTCTTTACTGGGAATGTTTCCCCAAAATTTCCAGGTCTTTGTGATACCATTACACTCGGTAGAAAATATGCTTAAAAAATGTGATCCTCCAACATAACAAAACTATCATCTTCGACTTGGAAAAGTGAATTTAATGTTGTAATTTTAGAACAATTAATATGAAGTTGCTATCCACTACCATAATTATTTCACACTTTAATATTAAAATTTGCTCAGGCAACATGGCACCCTTTGCAAGATCTGGCAGTGATAGGACGATATCCGGACCCAAATTTTCCTGGGTACCACTCTGGAGAGCTGAGGACCATTGATGTGGTCGATGCTAACACTGGAAACACTGTGTCAAGTCTACACAACCCCAGTGCACCAGGAATTGTCTGTGTGAGTATATTACAACACTTAACAACCCAACATTACTGAGGTATAATTGAAAATCATAAATTTTTGTCAGATTTTTATCTTGGAACTCCTAATTCATTTGTCTATATGATAATAAACTGTTAAGATGGTATCTAATTGATTTCATACTTCCCTTTTCACTTGCATTCAAAGGGGTACTAAATGATATAGTTTTTAAAAGCATTTAATAGTAAAATTACTGACTTAGGCAGAGAGCCCCTGTGTCCATATCAAATGATAATTTCAAAAATATAAATAAATATATTATTTCAATTACTTGTAAATCATTATCAGTTAGTGTTTATCCAGCAGTATCGAACAGTCCTTGCATTTACACTTTGTGTGGGTAGATTATTCCACATATAAAACAATCAAAATTTTTAAAAGTTCTGCCTCAGTTCTGTGTTACAGCAACGTTTGTAAAGTTTTAAATTGTGACCATGTGTCCTTTTGTTCTATAAAATGTCAACAGATCAGAAGTCACTTAGCCATCAAAAGTGTTATTGATTATTTGAGTTTGAAGGGTTAGGGTTATTGTTGTAGGACTGCTCTCAGTTAGTTGAGAGTGAAGGGTTCCTTATTGAATCAGGGTTGGTCACTGATGATCTAGCAGGGTGAAGATCATTGAAAATCTTGTGAATTTTTTCTGGTTTGAGAATCAATTTTGCCAGAATGTTTAGGGCTCTCTTATCTGACGATTCTACAGTCTTTATACCTAATTTGTCATGTTTTTATTTTTGTAGGTAAATAAATTCAACAATGATGGAAATTTATTGGCCTCAGGAATGGGTAAGGTTAAAATGACTTCATAATGTTGATCAATTTATAAAATTTGTAATTCAGTATCCATAATCAGCATTATATATTAGTAGAAAACATTTAGTGACACAATTGTTGTAATGTTAAAAACAGATATACGATCTGAACCTTTGATGGGTTTTTACATAATCATTCATAGAAGTTTCAGTATTTAAAGACAATGATGACAATACAACAAAGACGAGAAGTTCTAGGATAATAATCTTACTTGGTAGTGTGTTTAATACTAACCACCTATGGCACTGACAGGTTTGCATGTTCTACTGTGGATGAAGAAGGAAGATGTATCTAATGTACAGGAAGGTTTGATGACATCGCTCAAAGGTCTTGGTCACCAGGGGTCAAATTCAACAAGGGACAACGGTTCATCACGGCAGAGAAGAAACAAAACGGATGAGAAAAAACTGAAAACTTTACAAGGATCAAAAACTAACACAAAAGATGTGAAACTGAAATTGAAAAGCAAGAAAGATAAATTATGAAATTTTCAGAAATTGAAGTTTTATTTTGATATTACAAACTTTGAACGGTAGATTTTTAAGATATTTTTTTATTTCAAAGATCATTTAATCTACATTTAGTGATGCATATTATTAACAGAAAATAAGCTTAACATTTTACATCCTTGATGACAGGAGAGATGAATGGAAATGTCATTTAGAAAAGATAAGAATATGAAGATTCAAGAATATCTTTTTTGATGTGCAAAGTAAATGTTTAATCATTTCAAAAACATGCATTTTTCATAAAAATTCCTCTTCCAGAAAAAATGATTAATAGAAAATAAAGATAAAAAAGGTTTCTGTGTCATTATTTTTGCTGATGTATTGGTTCATCCCATCCACTTGTGTTTTCTTTTCCTGCTTCTTTATAGATTTCCCCAACACCTTTATTATGTCTGCTTCCCATCCACACAAATCCTCCTATAGCATATCCATACACTGTTATTTGTAATGATTTCGAGACAAAGAATGCCTTGACGATATACATTTGTTGGTTTTACCAGTTGGACCAAGTTAGCTTATTTATACAAATAAACTGCTCTTATTTTTCTTTCTGATGATCTTCAATCAAGCTTTTCAATCTATAACATTTACCTTACATATACTCTTATAAGGGCTTCACATGGGAGATACAGAATCCTTTTAGTAATCAGGTTCCTGCCCCTGTTTTTAGGTTCTTGGGATGACCTGTTGCGAATCCCCTTCAGTTCAGCTTTGTGCATTGTAAACTTATAACAATTTCGACTTCTAGAAAACTCCTGAACCAATTTCAATGAAATTATACAAAAAAAATTTCCATGACTTAAGGCACACCAAATGTAAATTATATGGTCCCCAACACCCAGTGGCATAAGGGGCAGGGCAAAAAGGATCAAAATGGATTGAAACTTCAAAAATCTTCTTCTCCAACCCTAGGTATGGTAGAATCAAATACTCTCCATAGATGAAAAGCCCTTCAGAGGCTTGACCAAAACAGTAAGTTTAATGACTCCAGGGTCTCGCATTTACCCCTAGGTAATGGGTAAATTTGATTATAATTTATTTAAGAAAATTACATTTTTAGCATAATTTGTTCATTTTCTACAGGAAATGGATCAAACCTGCTTAGAATGATGAGTATAAGATGACAGTTTGATGAGATGCACACATTGATCTTGGCTGACTTCCAGGGGCTAATGGATGTGGCCAAATCAGGTTAAACAGACTGAAATTTTGAAGATGTTATACTATTTATGGATGGAAGATTTTGTACAGGAATATTCAATCTCTGTGTGTAATTTCTCTTAATTCAAACTTGGTTAGAAGCCTTAGCACAGAACAGCAGTTGATGTATACACAATTTATATTTACAATATGTGTACATTGTAGTAAAGGTTATCTTTTTTTACAAAGTCATTGCTATGACATGTTACAAGAAACATTGTAAATCTGGTGACTGTTAAGACCATTTGGTCTCTCTCTGCACAGATTTTCATGTTATTTTGGCCAATTGCATTCAGTCTTTACTCATTGATTTTTCAAAGGAAGGTCATGCTTTGAGTGATTCTCAAGTCCTGGGATTACAGATCAAGTTCACATACAATATTAAAGAAAATCAGTCTCTTCTAGATATCTTTGATTCGTTCGAACTGCATTCAGACTTTCTCTGTTGCTTCATCATTTACAAGAAGTGCTAGCTCTCAAATGCATTTCATTATTGAAAGGTCATTGTCACCTATACAGCAAATTATGTCAATCTGAATGTTACTGGTTAATATTTACTTCATACAATGAAGCTTAATTGACTAAAATAAGATGAGAAGTCATCAGATCAAACATCAGTGTTATCAGGTCAAAGGTCAAGTTCAAATTTGAGACATTGTATTGCAGATATTTTGCTGTGACACCATGAAGGTCTATTGAGAGAAATCTGTTGTGAAGTTGTCTGACCACAGACTTGAGTCACCAGGTCTAATTTGAAATACAGGTATTTTGCTGGCTGGTATTTTAAGTCATAATGAAGGAATGAAGTCCTTGTAGTTGACAGTAAAAAGTGCAAAAAATTGTGATTGTGAAGTTGTTTGGAGAAAATGAGCGAGAATACTTGATATGCAACATCTTCTGGCTTTGAAACACATACAAGTTAGTATTAAAATGATCAATTTTTCTGGAGATGTTTAATTTATATCTATTGTGATATTGCAACTTATGTAAAACATTGCCTGAATGGTGAATCATATACTGTCACTGAATTTCTGACTTACCACAACCAAGACGAAAATATAATTGCGGTTTGACCTCGTTATAATTATTTTGAAATCATGAGTACCAGCTGTTTGCTAGCTCTCCTTCATTTGTGTAAAAAGGATTAGCAATGTGTTGATTGATCATATCATCCTGAAGGAACAAGCGTGTGACCCATCATTTTTATTAAGAAATCAATCAAGGTTAACTGGAAACATTGAGACAAAGGGAAGTGGAAATGCAAGAAATCAAAGAAGTATGGTATACAGAGGACAAAATCATAAAAAGGATCAAATGTTTGGTTAGTTTTCATAAGAGGATGAACGTATTCAAGAGCTTTTCAAAACAAGTCACAAAGACATGCCAAAGTCCTTCAATTTACCATTCTGATATAATGAAGATGTATTGACTTTACATGAAAATTACAAGTTTTATTGACAACATCGAACTTAAATACCCAACATGCATGATTGGAAATCAAGGCCACGTCAGACTTTTCTACATCACCAACATATATTGATCTTCTCCTAAAGAAACCAATATGGAGTCTTCCATCAAGCTGTATGATAAGCACGATGATTTTTTTGCATTCCCCGCTTAGGGTGTTAACATGTCACAGTTAATTTGATAATTAAGGGCCTGTTCCCAATATCATAACATGGTCACAATTACTACAAAATGTGATAATTAACTACTTGTGTTAAATTCCTGTAATTGATTATGTTACATGTAGTTGATTACAATAAATTAATTTTCAGTTACAAAATCTGAGAAAAACTCACTGTGACACATTTCCGGTAGTCACGGGAATCACACCGTGTGTGCAAGCTCCAAATAATTTGTCTCTTATCGACAGAAACACAGCAACGTTTTCACAGCAAAATGGTTCAGAGGTTAGTAATGGTTAGTGGTATCAAGTGATTTACTCATATCGTCGATAAATGTGCAATTCTATGCGTTTTTCAAAGATTTAGATAATACAATGGGCTACACTCAATTGTATTCACATTGATGTATAAATAGACTCTATGTTCACCTGTGTGGCATTGGCCGTACCTGTGAATGCGCACTCGCTACAGACGTGCCCAGGGCAAGTACGCGGCCTATAGTTTTGACTTGTTTATCTTTTTGTGAATATTTTGATAATGCAGTTCCAATAAGGATGGAATATGATGGGGATGTGGGTGATATCGAACGCTCAGATACAAATACACTCACAGAACTATTACCGGTCAGTCAAGTGTACATGCAGCCGTCATCTTGGCAAAATGGTCAAATCTACTTTCACGATGACCATACTGAATTCGAGGAAAGCTATGTAGATGGTGACTCTTTAGTGATTTGTAATCAGGTACATGATGACAACGTATGCTATAGTGGGGAGTCGTCTACAACGGACAAAAACAAACGTACCATAGAGATATATATGGAGCAGTTTGAAAAGGAAAAAGATTGCCCGAAAACGCTGTTAGTCGACGAGATACGACGGTTGACAAGTGATAACGTTGCGGATATTGAATTGCTGCGTGACTCATTGTTTGAAAAAGCTTGTTCTCGCGACGATTTCCCTTACAAAGAAGGTTATTTGAGGAAAAGAAACTAGGACACCAAACGCTCCGAAAATGCAAGCCAAATTAGCACGTGACTGTTTTATACTCATACGCGCTTGCGAAGGCGAATTTGTGGATGAGCTATCAGAAGTTGTCCCAACGAGGGTTAGGAGGACCCAGTTATCTTCTAATAACTCTAAAAACATTGGCGCTCGTGAAATAGCGGATTTCAGTGTTCTTCAGGAATCTGTCGCAATCCTGAAACGCGATTTGTACTTTCTTAAAAGTGATCACAAGAAGGAAATTATACATCTGAACTCGAGAATTGACGATTTACTAAAGGAAAAGGAAAGTGCAAAAAACAGGGCGACAAAGTACAGAGAAGATGTAAAGAGAATTCAAACAGAATTAGAAGAATGTAAAACGGCCTGTACTACTTACCAGCAATCCATAGCAAAGCTGCAAGAAGATGTAGCGAAAGCGAATGCAAACTGCACCGATAATCTTGCTGAAATAAATTCGTTTAGAGCTGAGAACAGCAAGACTCTAAAAGAAGTGTCGTCTTCAATCAAAACTCTTGAAGAAGATATACGTAAAAGCAAAACACATCGAGACAAAATAGAAAAACAGCTACTGAAAGTGAAGACAGATTTCAAAGACGCACAGGAATCTACAGCAGACATGAAAACATAGTAAAAAGATATGATGAACAACTTAACGATGTCGCTAGTGTCAAAAGTGCGTTGAAATTGGTGTCAGAGCGTGTGACAAATTACATGAAGTGTCATGAATCCGACCTAGATGAGACAAAAGACTCAATCAAGTCATGTGCAACGTCAGTTGTTAGTCTCAAGAAACAAATCGACAAAGTACGTAAAGAAGTACAGAGAGATATCAATCCTGTCAGAGCCAACATCAACTCGAGTACAATAGAAGCGATACCGGCTATCGTGACATCCAACAGATTTGAGGTCCTGTGTTCAGAAAACCAGGAAGATATCACAAAAGGTGTAGCAGCCAAGACTGCATCAGGCCCGGGCAATTCTCAGGATTCCAATCAGTCCATTAAGGTGGCTGATAGGCAACGCACGTCTGTTAATGGTTCTACGCAAACTCTTCACACTAGGCGAAACAACAATGTAGAAAGGCGTCTCGAGATTGATGCAGAGTCGCAACAGTCTATCAGGGTCCACTTTCCTTCTTCAG